AGCGGCCACAACTTCCTCAGCCGCGATAGGTTCTTCAGCCGCAATAACCGCATTCGCCCCCACCGGCTCGTCAGCCGCAAGGACTGCAGAGACAGGCTCGACCGCAGGCTCCGGGGCGACCTCAGTGGTGCTGGCCTCAGGAGCCAACTCCACATCAGCAGCCGCAACCGCTGTGCAGCCGGGCAGACAGCAGGGGTGATGTAATCGTGAGCAGTGGCGCATGATGGCAATCCCTGTGCGCTTACAGCCGTGGCCATGGGGCCCAGAGGAGCTTCCAATTGCTACATGGCATGTGGGTATACACCCCACTTGCGAATCAGCTCCAAACGCGAAGACACAACCACTCACCTTGAGGGGCAGGGGGAGCAACTGCAATGGCCACAGCCTCTGACTGGGGTTTCTCGCACACGGCCGACGGGGAAAAGACCAGGTTAAGAAAAGCAATACAGAAGAGGGGACAAAACAGCAGTACCTACGCTGCCGGGCCCAGTACATTATGCGCACATCACAGGTTTGCCGACTGCAACAACAGCACATGTGTCAAGGGTGCGTAGGGGTACGGAGGTAAATGGCGATCGCAGCCGCCCTGGCTCGCCAGGATCAGGGGCAGATAACGATATCAAAATCTCTATCGGAACCTTCTCCGGCTAGCTAGGCACGTCTACCAACATATGTGCACGAGTAACCCGGCTCAGGACTTACCTCAACAGCCGGAGCAACAAGAGCATCAATACCTACAAAATAGACATGTATTGGACAGGGTTATCGCAAAAGGTTACTAGGCTGCATGGGTTGTGGGCACAGGTATAGTGTGTTGCACGCCGACCTGCAACATTCTTTAAAGATCAGAGCAGATGGAATCAATTCCTTATCACGTGCAGCTGCTGTATCATCGGCAACACGATGATCAATCTCCCACATCCGTTGCAACCAGAAACGCCATCGATATGCGCACCGACACAAGTAGCATCATCATCCGTACCTTCAACCGAAACGTTTGCTGTCGATGCCAGCTCCACGGCAACAGAAGTGACAGTAGCTGCAGCGGCCTCGTCGGCGAGGGCCGGTGATGCAGAAGCCACGGTAACGATGGTCGAGGCTAGGAGCGAAGCCACAGCTAAGGCATGTTGCTCCCTTGCTTTGGAGGCCTCACATGTCGCAGCACATGAACGAACAACAACACACCCGCGATGCGGGGTAGGCAGCCTGGTAATTGTAGTACCTGCCTTCAACATTCCAGCAGATTTCAGTATGTGCTGCATTTTTCCAATCTATTGGTCCATGCGTGAACTTAAACTATTTGCACAAAACTCCATATGAGGTTGTGTTTATCGTACGGATATCCTGCGGCCCCAAAACGATTTCTAGCTCCTGAACCATCCACCCGCCACTTCAGATCGCCATACAATCCTTGCCATAACAAATAGTCCCAAATCAACTTGTATGCTACTATTTTATCTGCAGCTGTAACCATATTTAGCGA